CTGTAGTTTAACAGGTGATATTATGAATGATATGATCAGAGAGCTTTCAAGTAGAGGGATCAAGTTAGGATTACAGTATCTTCATATCGATGGTAATAATCTCAGTACAATTAATGGTGCTTCATTAGCTTCTTTAATGTCAGTTACTCCACAACTGAAAGACCTTAATTTGAGCAATTTTAGTTTAACAGGAGATATTATGAATGATATGATCAGAGAGCTTTCAAGTAGAGGGATCAAGTTAGAATTAGAGTCTCTTTATATCAGTGATAGTAATCTCAGTACAATTAATGGTGCTTCTCTGGCTTCTTTAATGTCAGTTACTCCACAACTGAATGACCTTAAGTTGAGCAATTGTAGTTTAACAGGAGATATTATGAATGATATGATCAGAGAGCTTTCAAGTAGAGGGATCAAGTTAGGATTAAAGTCTCTTTCTATCAATGATAATAATCTCAGTACAATTAATGGTGCTTCATTAGCTTCTTTAATGTCAATTACTCCACAACTGAAAGACCTTAATTTGAGCAATTGTAGTTTAACAGGAGATATTATGAATGATATGATCAGAGAGCTTTCAAGTAGAGGGATCAAGTTAGGATTAAAGTTTCTTTCTATCAATGATAATAATCTCAGTACAATTAATGGTGCTTCACTGGCTTCTTTAATGTCAGTTACTCCACAACTGAAAGACCTTAATTTGAGCAATTGTAGTTTAACAGGTGATATTATGAATGATATAATCAGAGAGCTTTCAGGTAGAGAGATCAAGTTAGCATTACAGATTCTTTCTATCGATGGTAATAATCTCAGTACAATTAATGGTGCTTCACTGGCTTCATTAATTACTCCAAAAATGATTAAACTTACATTGAGTAACTGTAGTTTAACAGACTATATTGTAAATGATATGATGAGAGAGCTTTCAAGTGAAGGTATTATGTTAGAATTAAAGTATATGTGTTTCAGTGGTAATAGTCTCAAAATGAATAATGATGCTTTACTGGCTTCTTTAATGGCAATTTCTCCAAAATTGATTGAGCTTAAATTAAGCAACTGTAGTTGAACAGGAGAACTGGCTTATGATCAGAGAGCTTTCAAGTCTTAAAATTATGATTAAAGTATAGTAAGCCACTATATAAATGACTAAATTAGATTAGACAATAATCTCAGTACATGTACGATTAAATGGTGCTTCATCGGCTCCTTTAATGGCAATTAGTCCAACACTCATTGAGCTTAAATTAAGCAACTATAGTTTTAATTTCAACAGGTAATATTATAAATGATGTGATCAGAAAGCTGGATGTCAAATTTTATTAAAATAAAAATTAAAAATATAAGATAATCTCGTTATTATTAGTTGTACTTCACTGGCTTCCTTAATGACAATTACTTCAAAACTGATACAAGACATGAGTTTTAGTGGAGGTATCAATTTAAAATTAAGGCGTCTTTGTTTCGATGATAATAATCTCAGGACGATTAATGATGCATCACTGACTTCCTTAATAACAAATACTCAAAAACTGCATAAACTTAAATTTAGCAACTGTAGTTTAATAGATGATATTATGAATAGTATGATCAGTGAGTTTCAAAGTAATAATATTTTATTCGGCAAAGTAAAAGTACAATCTTGCCAGGAAGATGGAAAATACAGAAAAGATCAAAATGCAACACTAGGCCATTATGTAATAACAACCTGTACAACAAGCAACTCAGTGTATTTGAAAGTGATGATTGCTGGACACTTTATGCGATTCCATTCTGATATGATCTAATACAGTCAAAGTATTTTTGGCTTTAAGGGACATTCAACTATGACTTTGCCAGGCAAACATGTAGGTCAAATATTGTAGAGAAATGGATCAAACTATGTTTTATTTTATAAACTTAAATATGTAAATCTGCTGAGAGATTTATGCAACTATTCAATGATAATTCTTCCTTTTTTACAACTGTACTCCCCCCATTTAAAAACTGTTAATCTCCACCAAACTGTTAGTTTGCAGCAAACAAAATTAAGAGCATATTTTGAAATTGTGTGCCAGTTACCGTGGAAGATCCCTATGTCTGAGAGCTCTCTCTTGTCCAAGGACTCAACACCTTTCCTCAGATAAAAATATCTTGTGAACATTTTTACAATATCAGACTGTAAAATCAATTAGGGGCCTAAATAAGCATTCCAAATCTTTAAATTGTAAGAGCTTCCGCCTTAGATACCATATACTCGCGTATAAGGGGACCTGGAAATAAGACGACCCCTGAGTTTGAGAATAATTTTGGTCGATTTTTGTATGTTGGTCATATAAGACCAATATACAACTCAGTGTGTAAGCCTAATTGTACTTTCATCTGACGCAACCTCTTTTTTTACAAAATTAAGTGTCCTGACTTCAAGCAAAAAACAAACCAGTCAACCTCATTGAAATAGGTTTGTCACATGCACCATTTGCTTTACCATAGTTGTCCCTTTTATCAATTTATATACTGTATATTTATTAACTTCAAACATAACTTGCACATTCAGCTTTGAAATATGGAACACTAAAATTATTTCATTTCGTACTGTAGTTAAGTATCAATAACTTAGGCCTATTTATCATGATTTGTTTCACCACATAAATAATAATCTTTTTCCTCCGAAACTTAGACTCAGATATACCGGGATGCGGTGTCTGACTGGGGATAAATTTAACTTTGCTGTACCATTGATTTGTCACGCGCAACATTTACCGTACCATAGTGGTCCATTTTATCAATTTATTTACGGTATCTTTATTAACTTCAAACATAACTTGCACATTTAGCTTATTGAAATATGGAACAAATTTAAAATTATTTCATTTTGTACTGTAGTTAAGTATCAATAGCTTACAGTAGGCCTATTTATCATGATTTGATTCACCATGTAAATAATAATCTTTCGCCCCTAAAACCTAGACTCAGAAATACCAGGATGCGGTGTCCGGCGGGAGATAGTTTTACCTTTATATAATTAGAATATTAGATTAATTCTAGTAAAACATACACTTGTACTACCAATCAGGCCCTGAAATACCAGATGGTGTCCAGCGAGGGATAGTTTTACCTCTACAATTTTCTTATTCTTAATGATTTAGTCTCTATAGAGGCTACAAAATTTCAACAAAGAAACCGTGACATAATCTATTTTTCTGCGTGATTTGTCAGAACTAAGAGCTTGTCTGGGCCCCTTATAGGTGGATAGATATATCTTCCCTGTAAAATGTAACGTAATAAGGTAAATAAAAAAAAATGTTTTAAAAAAAAAGTAATAAATATAAATGATTAATGGTTGTAAATATTGTATAGGTGTCCTGTTGCTTTTGATATTAATAATAATGTAAATAATTATTTCACTATAAATAATACTTGAATTTGTCATTTATCTATTGTAGTTGCTACATTTCTGGTTAATTTTATTGAGGATGACATTTCTATTTGCAAGGTGTTCAGGAAATATATTATCTGTATTTATATTAATCTTGTTTTATTTATATTTTCATATTTCCTTTGATAATAATAATGTAAATAATTTAATTCACTATAAAGTAATTGAATTGGTCATTTATCTAATGTACTTGAGACATTTCTGGTTAATTTTATTGAGGATGACATATATATCTGAAAATTGTTCATGGAAATATATTTTATGTATTTATATTTAATCTTGTTTTATTTATATTTTCTTATTGTTTTTGATAATAATGTAAATAATTTAATTCACTGTTAAGTACTTGAATTTGTCATTTATCTAATGTACAGTATTTGAGAAATTTCTGATTAATTCTGTTGACGATAAAATTTGTTCGTGCGAATACATTTTATGTATTTATATTAATCTTATTTTTATTTATATTTTCATATTGCTTTATATAATAATAATGTAAATACTTTATTTCACTATAAATTACTTGAATTTGTCATTTATCTAATATAGTTGAGATATTTCTTGTTAATTGAGAATGACATTTGTAACTGCAAGTTGTTCGTGGAATTATATTTTATGTATTCATATTAATCGTCTTTTGAATTATATTTTCATAGCTTTTATAATAATAATCATCCCCCCCACCCCAATGAAAAATATTTTTCTACGCCACTGGTTTCGACCTAGGCAAAGCTTTGCTAAAGAAGTACACTTTCTCCAACAAAAGGCTTCTTCTATGAATGGAATGACCTGTTCGAAGCACGAACTCCTGTAGACCAAACCCAGTACCGTTACGATTTTTAATCGTACGGGAAATCCACTCACGATCATCATCATAACAGAACCACATACACATACAGCGATGCACTAAACATGATTATGTTTTATACGATCTCGGATCATAATGTACATTTATACCTAATTCCAGGTAAGACATTTTTTTAGTTTATTTTATGAACATTAATTATTCTTTATTTTATAATAAAGAGATTTTGGAAATCACTTAAGGTCTGATTCGATTTCGAATTATGAAAAGTGTAGGCTGTTGCACCGAGACCTCTGACGATTAATGCCCAAAATTGTTTACAAAACGTAATGCAATAATAGCATATTGACTACTATTGTATATTTTCGGAGATATTTCAGCCGCTCCAGATATCTTTCCTATTGTTCCTTCTTCCTTTATTCTTTCACAATTTTATCGTTATATTCTTTTTTTCCATAATGTTATGCACTCCCATGATATAGTCACTCGTTTAGGCCTAGGCTAGACCTCGGCTATGCCTATTACTATATTATTTAAAATATACAATTTAGAAAAGATTAATTTTACATGGACATAGTAATTCATACTTAAACAATACATTAAATTTAAATGTAAATTGACGTTAACAAATAAAAATAATTTAAACGTGTACACATTATCACTACTACAATAATAAGATTAATATTTTTCAATCTTATAATCAATTTTAAATAGCCGGAGTTAGTTTCGACCTAGCAAACCTTTGCTAAAAAGGTACACTTTCTCCATCAAAAGGCTTCTATGAATGGAATGACCTATTCGAAGCACGAACTCCTGTAGACCAAACCCAGTACCGTTACGACTTTTAATCATACGGGAAATCCACTCACGATACAGTGTATAAGGTATGCATGTATCTATATAGTTATAATGTCAAATATATGTGATAACTTCTTTTAAGACATATGTTTTATTTTATATTATGTACTTAATTTTGCATCTCAGCAAATAATGTTTTATGTACCCCACTGGTTGTATTAAGTGTATAATAAAGTAGGCCTATATCTTATCTTATCTTGGCATATTTTTACAATAAATACAATTTAAAAGAATTAATTCTATGTCTTATAAGTGGTCTGTGGGCCACATTTGTGCTGCGAAGTAGATTGGTCTGGCCCGCAAACAAAATTAAGGAATTAAAAATTTTCTTAAAGTAAAGACTAAAATGCAACACTGTCCAATGTGCAATAACAACCTTTAAAACAAGCAACTCGGAAAGTGATGATTGCTGGACACAGTGGTCATATTCCGATATAATTTTATAGACAGAGTATTTTAGTCTGTAAGGGACACAGAACTATGACTTTGCCAGGAAATCATGTAGGTCAATATAGAGAAATGGATCAAACTATGCTTTTAATTTTTAAACTCAAATATGTAAAACCTGCTTAGAGGCGTATGAAACTACGATATTCGACGATTATGCCTTACTTTAAGCTCCGACGGCCATATTCCCCTCCCCAAGGGACAGGGAGAGACTTTTAGAGATGGAGTGTAACCCATGAAAAGAAAGAAAATTGATGATTATGGCACCTCTAGAGGGCCGGAAATGGCTCCCTCAGACTTAAATCTGAATATAATTTTCTTTCTCCTACCCCATTTTTTGTTCGCCTAATTTTGAAATATTTAGGGAGCCCCCGGGTCGGCTTTCCCTCCCTTGAATCCGCCACTGATCTGGTTAATGAGCTTTCCAAACACATTCAATTTTATTTTGCTGTACTGCACAAGTGAGACCGATCGGCAATGATTTGATCATTGAGCAGTGAAAACATAAAGCAATGCAAATTATGAAATTGCAAAGATGGGT